GGCGGCGGCGGCAGCATGGGGCAGGCCAGGTGGCCATTGCCCACCGCCCCGGGGCCCGGGTGGGCCACCGGGCCCACGCCGCTCATGGAGGACATGCTGAGGGGCTGGCTGTTGGTGTACAAGGGCTGGCTCTGGAGGTTGACCACCATGTTGCTGAGGGGCTGGGAGGGCTGCGGCTGGAGCTGGTAGTGGGCCGGCATCAGCGGGAGCTGGGGGGTGACGTGCGGAGGGAGGGAGGGCGTGACGCCGATGACGGGGGCCTGGACGTTGGCGGCCGGGCTGAAGGTGGGCGGCTGCGTCATCCCGTAGGAGTGTGTGATCAGGGCGGGCTGGCTGCCCGCCGCCACCGTGGTGACCCAGGGCGCTGCACCTGCGGCACGAAGGAAGGCCGGCAATGGCGGCGGGCTCGGCACGGGGGAGACCGGAACAAAAATAAACACCCCCAGCCTTCCCCTCCTGCGCCCGCACCCGCCACCGAACCGCACCGACGCGCCCTGCTCCTTCGCCCTATCTAAAGCGGTTCAGGGGCTGGACGCGTTCCCAACCGGTAAGTGCGTAAAATTGCTACGGCGATGTGAGTGCGATTGTTAAAATACTCATCAGGTGACATGTGGCATGTTTGCGGTTTTATGTATTTTGCGCTTTATGCAGCTTAAGCGCACGCTTCCAAGAAAATTAACCTCTTTCCCCACCATGCTTTCATGGCTCCCTGACAAACACTCTGTGTGTATAATAATGGTGCTCCAGCCACTACAAAGAGATTGTAATTAGGCGTCTGGCATAGTAGCACAATGTATGATACGTGTCTGGAAGCTGGAAATCATTTCAGGTAGTTCTGGACATAAAAGAGGTCTTAAAGTATTACAGAATGCCTTTTCCTCTAGTGAAGGCAAAGAAGGAGAAAAAAACACCCCACTCTAATGAACTTGCAGGCATCTTAATACATTTATATTAGCCCCAGCACAGAAGAAACTTGAGGGGCCTTTACAATGAGAGAAAAACCCTGCTAAAGAATAAAGAAAGAGCTCACAATGAAGTCTAATTTACGGAGGTAAATGGAGATAGTGCATTGAATTTGCTTTGAATGATTTTCCCTTGTAGAATTACAAATAAGATTAGAAACATACCTGGGTTTTCATTCTCCCTCATCTGTTTAGATGGAGGCTCATCAGTGTCCCAGGGCGTGGACTGATTGATGGGTGTCTGTCCCCACCTGACGCTCGTTGCAAGTCCTTGAGGCTGATTTTCAGTCTTGGAAATGCAAGGTGTCTACCAGAGAGAGAGAAAAATACAGAAAAAAAAATGTTCAGACTATTGGGAATAATTACTGTTCCTCATAGTAGCTTGCTTGTTTGTTTGTTTGTTACAGTCCAAGAGGATATCCTAAAATCTTTAAGTAACATTCTCCTCCAGGCTTGCATGACATGTCCGTATGGAAAATACAGTATATTTGAAAAAAATACTTCTGGAAATTTAATAGATCCACCTTTAACAAAAAAAAAAATCCACAACAAACTAGCATTGAGAAAAATAAGTTGCTTCTTTTGCCTTGAAAAAAAAAAAACCAAACAGATATGGTACTATCCATTCAGTCACAGCTCACATAAAACGGGACAATCTTCTGTTTGCTCAATCTCTTCCAAAAATAGTGAGTTTTGTTTAGCAGAAGTCAGAACAAGAGAGACTTATTTACAACCGTAGGACAAATTACTGTAGAACAGTAAAGAGAAGTCTTAGTATTTACTGTCTGTCAACCCTTAAAATTGAATGCCAATAAAAAAAAGCAGCATAACAGTCATTGGCTGCTAAAGTGGGTATGTTGGCAGTTCTTCAGAGATGTTAAAATAACTGTAAAGTAGGGGAAGGATTGGGGCTGAATAATCATCAAAGGGGATATGATCTGAAAGAGATTTCTTGCTAAAGAAACTATCACATGGATTTAAATGCTAAACCAGTCCCCCTCCCCCACCTCAGCCCAGTTTTAGGGGATCTTCCCAAACAACCATGCCTTTACTGAGAAAAGGCCTGTAGAAAACAAGGGTGTTCCAACAGGTCTCATTTATTTAACTCTGCAGTATATTTCACTGCTGGAAGATTAAAAGTTTTTTTGTTTTGTTTTTACTGGTGTCAGAACCTCTAAACCAAGAAAACGGAACCAGCTGCCTATTGCTGAATGAGTATTGAGGACTGAAGCCATAAAGAACAGACCAGTCTGAGCGATCGCTTGTTTGCCTTACATCTGGGAAGTAATTTAGCTCTGAGACGGGGGTACAGCGGCTCCATAAATGCCCTGGGTCACGTAGTACCAATGAAATCTCTGTCAACACCAGCAGCTTTTTTCCCCATCACCAGTACCTCAATCGCTCCATGAAAAGAAGTCATTAGTGGACTCATTTATGCCCTCTGCAAATACATGCACACCTTTCCAAAGCCCATCAGTCATTCCCTGTGTCTTTAAATCCATTGCAGGTGCCTGCTTCCTCCTGCCCTCCCTTCTCCCCCACTAACACCCCTGCTAGCTCTTCTGCCCTGCTCCAATGCTCCCTTCTTCATCCAAGTGCCTCTGACATCTCCTTATCAGCCACTCCCTTTTCCACCTGAGCTTTATCCTCCTTGGGCTCTGGGAGTCAGAAGTCCTGGGTGCAGACCTTAATAGAGGACAGGGTTTTTGCTGTGCTGCTCTCTCTGCTCCCAGAAGCCACAATGGGAAAACTTTCCCCACTAGAAATGCTATACTTCATTAAATGCAGATGTTCACAGGGAAATGTGATTCTTAATGTCTTTTTCTGTATGGAATCTTGAAGTTAGAATTTTCAGTTTCTGTCCAAATTATTATTTTTTTTTCAAAATGCATCAATTTATTCTTTTCCATGGTCTTTTTTGTTTGTTTGTTTTTGTTGTTTTTTTGTAATTTAACCTCTTCAGATTTTTTTCTATTCTACAGGCACCAAGGACAACAATATCCAGGTTTTAGATTCACATTTCCTTCTGCCCCCACCATTTCAACTACTTTACAACTTTTGCAATTGAAATAAAAATGAGAGTCAGGAAAGGCAAAAAGAGAGGATGTGCAGACAAGCAAGAGCTTTAAGATTCATTCTGTTGTATTCATGGCAAAGAAAGGGCAGGAGGGGAAGAAATAAATCTCAGTTTTGAAATGCTTTCTATTTATAAACTGTCCTGAGAAAAGGCTTAATCTGAATACCTTTAGCTTTTACATTGTACAAGGTCCTTGACACAGGAGGATGTAACGCTGTTGGTGGTTTACCAGTTCATGTTAGCAGTATCCCTTTGGATCTAAGCTAAACTGTTTAACAGTGGCCGAAGCACTCTGCAGTAGAAAAAGAAAGAAGCAAAAAAAAGCACCACCAGCATTTTCTGCCTATATATCAGCTAAGATACTTCCCCCAGAAACACTATTATTTATCCCAAAGAAAAGCTTTAAAAAACAGTAAATGCAATAAAAAGAACTGGGCATTTTTATGAATCATCAAAGAAAGACAGACAGGAGGATTCACAACTCAAACGATGCCCCGCATGTTCCACATGTGGCATCATCTGTGTGTTGCGTTTCATTGTTGTATGAACTGGGTCTGTTAAGTGGGTTTGAAATACATACTTCTCATTATTGTGTGGCATTGTCAAGATGTGCAGCATCTTGTGTAACTTTGTTACATCCCCAAGCTGCTTTAAAACAGTGTCAGTCTAAAATAAGAAAAGAATATTCCTGTACCTTAAATAATACAGAACCACACACATGCTATAATTTTAAAAGAACCCATATGTTCTGTACAGAATGGGTAAGAAAGAGAGTATGTGACACAGCTCTCCTAAATCCTACAAAAATCCGGTTGTCTATTTTGCAGCTGAAAGCTTGCTTTCCAAAAAACAAGAGCACCAGATCAGACATATTTGAAACTGGTGGAGTTAGCACCCAAATCTAGATGTAAATTCCATACTTTGAGCATTAATAAAGAGGAAGGAGGTTTGCTGTCAATAAATACTTCTCCGCTTCCACAAAATGCTATTTTTTTCCAAAATTTTTTCACTAAACATGCTCACAAACCCTGCTTCTTAGAGGCTCAGTGGATTTAAATGCACGAGACCAGCACACTGCTTTCAAACTGTACTCCTGCGCTTGTATTTATTTGATCAGAAAGAGCTAGAGGTTAGTTGGCATGAAATCACAACACACATTCATGAAACACAGTTTAGACAATAATGGTGGTGGAAACAGAAAAACAGCTTACTGAACTTCTTTTTTATATATATGTATACTTCTGGTCTCTGATCTAATTTCTGCATTATTTTTCTTAATACATGAAGGGTTACATTACAAGTGTTACATGCCTCTGATCCGATTGCAGCAATTACCCATTTGCGTATCTGGAAAGCAAAATTATTTCCAACATTATCAAACAAAGGAACTTTCTGTCCATGCGCTCAGGCACATGACAGCACTCTATTTGATGCTTTTAATGTACAACACAAATGACCAAAAAATGGCCTGTATTATGCTAGTTGTGCAGGGGGAAGAGATGTGTTCCATTAGTGATCTGCAGACTTCACAGAAACTAATTGTACTATGTTACACTTTTATCTTCAGCTTTCATGTCAGATGCTTGTTTGAATTAAACACGAAACACATGAAAAAAGGAAATGCATTACAAAATCTACTGGGTATACATTTTAAAATACTGCCAAATGTCTATTTACATGAAAAGACAAGAAGGCTTCTAAAAGGTCTGTTGAAGCCTGGCTAGTCAACAGCAGCATTGGCTATTTAATTGCCTGAAATTCATGGCAGACTACAAAGATTACTAAAGCAATCATCAGCATCTTTGTAGCACCCCTAAAATGTTCAATCTGTGCTCTCTATCATGGATAGAGTACCCCAAATCCAAATCTGAGTTTTTTTTCCTCTTTAGCTTGAAATAACCATTAAGAAGAAATAAAATTTTCAGTTGAAGCTTGCATTTCACCTCATGCCTGCCACTTTGAACTCCAGCAGTGAGCAATCTCCCAGTTTTAAGGAAATTAACTGCAATACAGATGTACAGGCAGAACAGAACAAGATGGAACAATTTCAGAATTACATGAGACTAACACAGACAAGTTGCCAGGTTGTCGATTTTTTGTAGCTCAAACAGTCATAAACCATGGCCCATAGGCAACAGTAATTGGTGTACAGCTGGTCCACTGAACCTTATTAAATTAAAACATCAAAAACCTTCAGATTCATGGAGCTTTTCAGAATATGCACAAGAAAGTTCGCAAGTTCACAGCAATCAGCTGGTGCTGAAGATTGGGAATTAGTGATTTGGTCTATACTGCATCAGTTTACATGGTTACTATTAGGTGTTCAGGAGGCATAGCTACAACTAAGCCTGACTTTAAGTCCAAATTGTTACAAATCTGTGATGAAATAAGACTTAAACTTATACTAAGACCTTCTTTACATGCATGGAAACATAAAATCTACTGCACTACTACCGGCATTACAGAGTATGTTCATGGAATTAAAAAAAAGCCAACCCAACAACAACAAAAATCCAACAACAAAAATCCCAATACAATTTTCCCCAGGCTCAACACCACCAAACACTTCCTGGGAGGTCCTTATAAACACATTTGAGCAATTTCCCCAAAGGCTTGTAAAACTGCTGACATACATCCTGCTACGGCTCAGAGTGCTAAGACCTATTCAAACAGTTTCATGAGCAAAAAAGAACTAATCTGGAGAGAGGGATCCTATTTGTGGTTCCCAGCAACCAAAATTATTTTACTAAGGCCTTCATTTAAAGTGATGGATGAGAAGTAGCGATTCTCTGTTCCAATTATCCCAAAGAGATTGGGAATGGCAGCTTAATACTAAGATAATGTATCCAATATGCAACCCACTCTATTTTCTCTCCCCATTGAAAATAAAAAGGCTAAGACACACGCAAGCATAGAGGCAAACATTCCCTCCCACGGATTCAGGTTTTATGGCCTGTCATGGGTAAAAGCAACTTCAATTTAATGAGGGAATTCCTTTTAATGCTGTTAGCTATGCCTCACTCTAACAAGTAATGACTGGTGGCCCTGGTTGGGTTTTAAGCCTGAACGTGTCTGGTGATCTAAAAAGCTTAGTGGTCTCTGCACCAAAGAGTTTATGGTCTAATTTGTAGTTCATGCTGCTAAATATTGCATGAAACAGGTATTATTTGTGTGCATGAGACATGCATGTAAAATCTGAACCACACAGGGATAGATTTTCATCTGGGGTA